TCGTGATTTAATTTAGTTGTTTTCATTCATTTTATTTTACGTACGTGACTTAAACGAAAAAATCAAAGAGTATATTAACAATAGTTTATTAGGACGTTGGGTGTGGGCGCTATGGATCTCATAGCGCAGGGCGATCATCAAAAATGAAGGCGCTGCCGGCTGTAGCCTGCGGTGGTTTCACATCAGGGGGCGATGTTGCTGCTTTTGTTGGTTCGCCTAGGGGACACCCCCAGTGGCAGCTGTCCCTGAGTGGTGTTTCACAGAGTGACGTTTAATCGCTTGTAGGGATTTATTAAAATTTGCAAATGTGGACCATGACGCCAGCACACAGATGTCTAATCAGTGTTCGGTAGACATCTGTGTGTAGTTACTAGGCCACTCATAATGTATTACTAGGGCAGTGATAATGTAGTCACTACACCTCTGATAATGTAGTTACTAGGCCACTGATAATGTATTACTAGGGCAGTGATAATGTAGTCACTACACCACTGATAATGTAGTTACTAGGCCACTGATAATGTATTACTAGGGCAGTGATAATGTAGTCACTACACCACTGATAATGTAGTTACTAGGCCACTCATAATGTATTACTAGGGCAGTGATAATGTAGTCACTACACCTCTGATAATGTAGTTACTAGGCCACTGATAATGTATTACTAGGGCAGTGATAATGTAGTCACTACACCACTGATAATGTAGTTACTAGGCCACTCATAATGTATTACTAGGGCAGTGATAATGTAGTCACTACACCACTGATAATGTAGTTACTAGGCCACTGATAATGTATTACTAGGGCAGTGATAATGTAGTCACTACACCACTGATAATGTAGTTACTAGGCCACTGATAATGTAGTTACTACGCCACTGACAATGTAGTTACTAGGCTACTAATGATGTAGTTACTAGGCCACTGATGATGTCGTTACTAAGCCACTGATAATGTAGTCACTACGTCACTGATAATGTAGTTACTAAGCCACTGATAATGTAGTTACTACACCACTGATAATGTAGTTGCTACACCACTGATAATGTAGTTACTAGGCCACTGATAATGTAGTCACTACACCACTGATAATGTAGTTACTACGCCACTGATGATGTAGTTACTACACGACTCATGATGTAGTTACTAGGCCACTGATAATGTAGTTACTACGCCACTGACAATGTAGTGACTAGGCCACTAATGATGTCGTTACTACACCACTGATAATGTAGTTACTAGGCCACTGATAGTGTAGTTACTTCACCACTGATAATGTCGTTACTACACCACTGATGATGTAGTTACTACACCACTGATAATGTAGTTACTATGCCACTGATGATGTAGTTACTACGCCACTGATAATGTAGTTACTACACCACTGATAATGTAGTTACTTCGCCACTGATAATGCAGTTACTACACCACTGATGATGTAGTTACTAGGCCACTGATAATGTAGTTACTGGGCCACTGATAATGTAGTTACTAGGCCACTGATAATGTAGTTACTAGGCCACCACTGATAATGTAGTTACTAGGCCACTGATAATGTAGTTACTAGGCCACTGATAATCTAGTGACTAGGCCACTGATGATGTAGTTACTAGGCCACTGATAATCTAGTGACTAGGCCACTGATAATGTAGCTACTAAGCCACTGATAATATAGTTACTAGGCCACTGATAATATAGTTACTAGGCCACTGATGATGTAGTTACTAGGCCACTGATAATGTAGTTAATAGGCCACGGATAATGTAGTTACTAGGCCACTGATGATGTAGTTACTACGCCACTGATAATATAGTTACTAGACCACTGATAATGTAGTTACTACACCACTGATAATGTAGTTACTAGGCCACTAATGATGTAGTTACGAGGCCACTGATGTCGTTACTACGTCATTGACCACCCCCTTCCCACCATCCCGCGCGCTTTCAAATGCGCTCCTACAGAGCTATGCAAACTTAAATCAACTAGTTCAGTGGGGTTGCGAGACATGACCAGGTTTTTTGTTGAGGTATGTAATGGAAACACAAACTAAGCACGGGCATCAAAGTTACAACTTACTTTGTTTTATCAAACCCATTGAATTAATTAACATTATAGATGTTTATTTTTTTACGATTGAGAACCAAATGGGTGCAAAGGTTGCAGTAAATGTTAAGAAGCACTGGTCTGGATTGTGAAAACTCATTTCTTAAGAACTACTTTATACGTTTCGTTTGTAGTTCTTCCCCTCGCGCTGCACCGATTAGCACGGTTGGCTATGTACGGTGCGAAAGAAGTTCAACATACATAAAAAGACTAACACAGAGACCTATGAACTCACACAGAGACCCATAGACTCACAGGGAGCCCCACAGACTCACACAGAGACCCATAGACCTACACAGAGACAAATAGACTCATACAGAGAATCACAGACTCACACAGACCCATAAACTCACACAGAGACCCATAGACTCACACAGACCGATAGATTCATACAGACCCATCGACTCACACAGACCCATAGACTCACACAGAGACCCATAGACTCACACAGATACCCACAGACTCACACAGAGATCCATAGACCGACACAGAGACCCATAGACTCACACAGAGTCCAATAGACTCACACAGAGACCCAGAGACCCACACAGAGACCCATAGACTCATACAGACCCATAGACTCACACAGACCGATAGACTCATACTGACCCATCGACTCACACAGACCCATAGACTCACACAGAGACCCAAAGACTCACACAGAGACGCACAGACTCACACAGAGACCCATAGACCGACACAGAGACCCATAGACTCACACAGACACATAGTCTCACACAAAGACCCATAGACTCACACAGAGACCCATAGACTCACACAGAGACCGATAGACTCATACAGACCCATAGACTAACACAGAGACCCACAGGCACACAGAGACCGATAGACCCACAAGAGACCCATAGACTCATACAGACCCATATGCTCACACAGACCCATAGACTCACACAGAGACCCATAGACTCACACAGACACCCATAGACTCACTCAGAGTCCCATAGAATCAGACAGAGACTCATAAACCCACACAGAGACCCATAGACTCATACAGACCCATAGACTCATACAGACCTATAGAATCACACAGACCCATAGACTCATACATAGACTCGTAGACTCACACAGAGGCCCATAGACTCACACAGAGACCCATAGACTCACACAGAGACCCATATACCCACACAGAGACTCATAGACTCACAAAGAGACCTATAGACTCACAAAGAGAGCCATTGACTCACACAGAGACGCATAGACTCTCATAAAGACCCAGAGACTCACACAGAGACCCATAGGCTCACACAGAGACCCATAGACTCATACAGAGACCCATAGACTCACACAGAGACTCATAAACCCAGAGAGAGACCCATAGACTCATACAGATCCATAGACTCATACAGACCCATAGACTCACACAGACCCATAGACTCACACAGAGGCTCATAGACTCACACAGAGACCCATAGACTCACACAGAGACCCGAAGACCCACACAGAGACCCATAGATTCATACAGACCCATAGACTCACACAGAGACCCAGAGACTCACACAGAGACCCATAGACTCACACAGAGACCCATAGAATCACACAGAGACTTATAAACCCAGACAGAGACCCATAGACTCATACAGATCCATAGACTCATGAAGACCCATAGACTCACACAGAGACCAATAGACTCACACAGAGACCCATAGACTCACACAGGCCCATAGACTCACACAGAGGCTCATAGACTCACACAGAGACCCATAGACTCACACAGCGCCCCATAGACTCACACAGAGACCCACAGTTTGTTGTCCTTCCCCCGCACCTCCGATTAGCACGGTTGGCTGCGTACGGTGCGAAAGAAGTTCATCATCCCCCCCCCCCCGCATGTCCCCCACTAACACACACGCACACACGCGCGGAGTCGCCAGTGCAGTGCTACGCTCAGCACAGAAGCGCCGCCGCTGTAGCTGTCGAACGCGCGAGCTGCACGTGGTGGTGAATACAAAATAAACCCGCCGGCTCCCCAACTCCCACGTGTGTCTCACCCCCCCCCCCCCCTTCGTTATAACGCCCCCCCTCTCTCTGCTACCCCCCCTCTCTCTACACCCTGCCACATCCTCCCTTTCCCTATACCCCCCCTCTCTCTGCTACCCCCCCTCTCCACCCCCCACATCCCCCCCCTCTCTATACCCCCCCTCTCTCTGCTACCCCCCCCCTCTCCACCCCCCTAAAAACTCCCCTCTATCTATACCCCCCTCTCTCTCTAATACCTCCCCCCCTCCTCTCCACCCCCCTGAAACCCCCCTCTCTCTATAGCCCCCCCCCCCCGTCTCCACCACCACCACCACGAGCCGCCCGCTGCCACATTGGGGCGGCGTGCTTTGATTTAAGGCTGAGCTGCCTGAGCGACATTGGATTGTGGGGGTGGAGGGGAGGGGCTGATGTGGGGAGTGGAGGGGAGGGGCTTGTGTGGCGGTGGGGGGGGGGTGATGGGTGGGGGTTCACCGGGGGTAGCGCATCGGATGAGCGCGCTGCGTTACGAACCCGGCGAACCTGGGTTCGATTCCCGCTCACGGCTACCAACATCGGTGACGATTATCTGAACCGGTCATGGACCAAATGAGTACCTGGCGCGTTGCCTGCACGTCGCCACTGGGGATACAAAGGCGGTCGGGCGTGCGAGTTGCAGGCCACCCACTCCCTCGTGTGCCATGCCGGCCTTCATAGGTGCTCGCTACTCGCGAACTGCACTTGCCCCGACAGCCTGTTAAAGGCTATCCGGGCGATCTTTGTATGTTTGTGGGGGGGGGGGGGGGGGAGGGGGATGAGGAGTGGGGGCTGCGTGTGAGCGCATCTTGACGGATGGAGGGAGGCGGCACGCAATATCAGGGGTGGGAGGGAGTGGAGGATGCTGTAGGAGGAGGAGGTGGTGGTGGTGGTGGTAGCGGCGGCGACGGATGATGCTGCTGCTGCTGCTCCTACCTCTGCTGCTACTGCTGCGTTGAGGAGGAGCGCCGATGGGAGCAAGACACTACTAACTGCTGCATCTGCACCTACAGCATCATCGTCATCACTAGCAGCAGCAGCATCAACAGCAGTAGCAGCAGAAGCAAACAGCAAGCCACAGCAGCAGCAGCAGCAGCCAAGAGAAAGAGGTGGAGCATTCCTGCATCACGTCTCGCTCCCCTCCGTCACCGCATGGGGAGGAGGGATTGGGCTGGCGGTTCGCGGCGCACGAGGTTGGAGGATCTGGAGGAGGAGGTGGTGGTGGTGGTGGCGGTGGTGGCAGAAGAGGAGGAGGAAGATTCGGCTTCACGGATCTGCGATGCGTGTCCTTGTCGGCTGAGCCGTGCCGCTGGGCCGCTTTCTCGGCCGCTTCGCAGCAGATGACAATGCGTCTGTGTGCACTGCTGCTGCTGCCACTGCTCGTGATCATGGGGTCCCCGCTGGCGAGACGAGCGGCCAAGAGCGCGCCTAACCGGACCTACAAGACGGCTCGACCCCTGCCCGCGCCACCATCACCATCATCATCGTCCTCGTCATCATTACCATCGTCGTCGTCGTCATCATCATCATTGTCGTCGGGAGCGGCGTCGTCATTGGCATCGTCTAAATCGTCGTCGGCTTCATCGTCGGCAGATTCATCGGCGCCGTTATCGTCCTCGTTAATATCGTCGTCATCGTCGTCTTCATCGTCCGCAAGCGGAAGGAACTACTGCCTCGGCTACTTCGACGTGATGGGCCTCTGGGACCCGCCGTTCAGCTGCAACTCGACCGAGTATCGCTTCTGCTGCGGCACCTGTAGCATGCGCTACTGCTGCAACGTCTTCGGCTCGCAGCTGAACCAGTCGGTGTGCCACAACTACAAGACGCCCAATTGGGCGTCGCCCACCGCCAACCAGATGCCCACCGTGGACCCCGATTCCAAGTACGACCCCGCCATGGACCGCACCAATCTCGTGGTCTACGTCGTGTTCGGAGTCATCGCCCTGGCGCTGCTGTCCGCGGTGCTGGCCAAAGTGGTGCTCAGGAGAGTGACACGCGCCGCCAGGGATATTATAATGCCCAAGTAAGTTGCGGTTCGTGTGGCGTTGCGTGGACGAGCGGGCGGGTTTTTTTTTTTTTTTTTTTTTTTGTTGTTGCTTTGCCGATGACCGGTAACGGCGGTCTCAAGATCGGCCTCTGTGGAGGAGGTGGAAAAGGAGGCTCGCGGGCAGTGCCAGGCTAGGTGCGCTGTGAGGCTACTGGGCAGTTGGAGGCAGTCGTCCTCCAACAACGACGGATGGCCAAGTAGCGACGCTCGCAACAACGAGCGGAGCGCCGGGGAGATAGTGGGGAAGCCCAGCTGGTGCATCGGCCAGTCATCTCAGCCGGTCCAGCCACGGCACCTGGGTCTGACCCGTGACCTTCCTGTCAGACAGCCTTCGGCACGTCACGTGGTCTCAGGGTGCACCTAGCCTGGCACAAGCGTCGTGGCGACGACGCCGACACTTCGAGGCGAACGGCGGCTGTTGTTCTGGGTTGTGGTTTATACGATCGGTGGCGGTGAGCGCAACTGCGGCTTGCGGAACCCGGCGACCCGAGTTCGACTCTCGCTCACGGCTCAAACGTAACTGAAGGAGATCTGAATCCGTTCGTGGGCCTCCTCGCCTAGGTCGACTCAGCCTTAAATGAGAAGCCGATGCGGTGTGTAACACATCCAGCTCCGTGGGAGACAAAGGCGGCCGGGCGTGGAACCGGCCACACCAACCGCCTCGTGTTCCGTGTCGGCCCTCGTTCGCTTAACAGCACTTGCCCCGACAGTCCGTGAAGGCTGCACGGGGTGTCTTTGTCCTGTGTCTGAGAGCGCCCTTGCAGTGAGCGTGTTCCTTGATTCATGCATTTACCATCATCATCATTCGCCATAGCCTATCCACTGCTGGATGAAGGCCTCACCAAGCCGCCGCCGCCGCCGCCGCTATCCCGTCACCGCTACGCAGCAATCCATGCAGGCAACTGGGGAAGAAACCCAATTCGCCGCTCCATCTCCCCGTCTGTCGATAGCCATTGCATCGTTTTTTTAGCTGGGTCGCGTGCGGTGTTCAGTTCCAGGGAATCGTCGCGACACCCGGCCACATCCAACCTCCGGCCTTCCTTTTGTCCTCACGAATTTGTATCAACCTGCTCACGGGATTCCGGGATTAATACTTTTTGGGGGTGAAAAGCTAGAGGATTATTATTGGATAGGCGTAACGTGTACTCTAGTGGTAGTGCCTTACGCCGATAATTGTTACCAGCCCCCCCCCCCCCCCTCAACCCACCCTGATAAGTCAACCTCACAGCGCTCAGGATAAGTCGAGTGAGACATAGAACCCAGTTTACATCTCGTTATAATAACAATAATCTCCGTCCGAGATGATCAGTTGATTAATTCGCTCGCCTGCCCCGTGCAATCTGTCCACCCGTCGTGATGGATGCATTTTTTTTTGCACCTGCGAAGCTTATTCATTTATATGGCCATGCATTCATTCCTCCACTGATTAAGCGACACCGTGCATCGCCCATAGTCTCGTACACACGGCGATACATAAATAAATAATGTCTCTATCCATGTACACGCGTACCGATTTTTCATGTTTTCGCACAAGCGTCCGTTTGTTTGCGTTGCTCATTTTACGTATTCGTTGGGCTACTGATGAACTTGATCTGTGCCCTCCATCCGCACGCGCCAGTAAATCCCTTCGCAACGACGTGTTTCGGTATGCATTCGGTCCTCCGCCGATTATAGATAGATCCACCCCGGTATTCGGTCATTCGCGCATCGGTCAATTCGTCACCCGTTCGTGTGTACGCGTTACTCAAATGCGCAAACTCCTTCATGCGCGCGTCCGTTCGCGCATCCATTAAACACCCCATCAATCCCCTTCACCCTATCCGTGCGTTCATTCGCTCCCCTTTATCCGTCCATATATATTATCATCGTCATCATTATTATTATTATTATTATTCCGCTCACTTATCGATAACTCCATCCATCCCACCCGTCCATCGATTCATCCGTGCGTGCCGCCGCACATCCCATCTCCACGCGCCGATTCCGTTTCATTGCCAATGCGCCACCCCGGTCGATCAGTCTCCTCACCATCAGCCAGTGAGTTGGCTGACTCGTCTCACATCCCCTGTGGGGCCACAGGGCCACGACAAAGCCCTCTCCATCTTAGTTCCACATTTTCATTTATTTGGGTATAGCCCTGTGAGCCATTCGGCTCTTGAATCGGGTGCAACCGCAACAAACAAAAAAACATGAACAAGAAAACATCTTAAAGTGATCATGTGACTGTGCAAAACAGAAAATCCAGGGAAAAAAAAAAACAACAAAATATTCCTGAAATAGCCCCGTGCCTGGCTGCACACTTACGCCTCCGCTCCCCTCGACAGCTTCGTCCGACCCAAACCCTCCACCGGCGTCGACAGATTTGTTCGCCACGTGTGTGGTTTGGGGGGGGGGGGGTGGCGGCGGCCTCCCCGAAAGGCGTCCCTCTGCAGGGCCCTTTCAAGGGATGCGGGTTGTCTGCTTCGCTCCTCGGACGTTGCCTCCGTCGGAACGTCTCCGTTCGTTATCAATCTCCTCGTCACTGCGGACGCTCGTTCAGTTTCCCCGACCCCACCGCACTCTTCATTCGATAAACCGGGATTCTGATTTAAAGCTTTCGTGACTGCAGTAATTCATATTCTTAGCTCTTTCGGTAAAGTCACGTTGAAGGGAAGCAATAAAATAATAAAAAAATATATAAAACAATAAAAATTCTCACGACGTTTCGACCATAACACAAACGGTCATCATCAGGTGTGTTATGGTCGAAACGTCGTGAGAATTTTTATTGTTTAATATATGTGTTTTATTATTTTATTGTTTCCCTTCAACGTGACTTTACCGAAAGAGCTAAGAATATAAACCGGGATTCGTTTGCGCGTTCACCACGCGACTCTCCGTTTACTTGCCCTTCCATCCACGACTCATTATTTTCCTTCCTCCGTCGCCCGTCTCTTCACTCGTTTGCGATCTTATGTATGCACCCTCTCGTTCCGACCATTTATTGGTCCAATTAATCGTCCCGTGCATGCAATCGTTCGTTTCTTCATACATAATTCATACCACCGGCCTCTGACAAATCCATCCCACCCTTCATGCATCATCACATCTTCACCAATTTTCTCATCCATCTATCAATACTTTTGTTAGTTATCGATACAACCTTGCATCCATTTCGTTTTTACCATATCAGCACGCACATACATGCATACATCCATCCATCAATACATCTATTGCATCACGTCCAAAACGTTGTACTCACACATATGTACGTATGTATATGCCCACACCACCACCACCACAGATATTATCACCAACATCACCAACACACCCACCATCACCACCTCCACCATCAGCATCACCAATGCCATCTTCATCACCAGCACCATTCCCACGACCACCATCACAACCAACACAACCGCCATCACCCGCACCACCACCATCAGCGCCGTCAATATCATTAGCATCATCACCACGACCACATCACAACCATCAACACGACCATCACCACCACCAGTAGCACCACCACCACCACCATCGTCACATATCCGGTGACAATGTATTGAGTAGCGCTTCGCAGCAAAATGTCACTGTGGCCTTTCCACGCAGAGATACTGGCCCGCTTTCATGGGAATGTGGAATTTCCGCCACTCTGTTGGCAGAGCAGACCGACACTGGATGATAGCTAACGGAGGATTAGGTGGTGGTGGAGGAGGCGGAACGGGTTAGAGGAGGAACAGGAGAAGGAACACGAGGATGAGAAGGAACAGGAGCAGGAGGAGAAACAGGAGGAGGAATAGCAGGAGGAGGTGGGACAAGAGGAGGAGGAGGAGATGGAGGAGGAGGAACAAGTGGAGGAGGAGATGGAGGAGGAGATGGAGATGGCTGAGGAGGAATAGGAGGAGGAGGAGGAACAGAAGGAGATGGAGGAGGAGGAGGAACTGGAGGAGGAGGAACAGGAGGAGGAGGAACAAGTGGAGGAGGAGATGGAGGAGGAGATGGATGAGGAGATGGCTGAGGAGGAATAAGAGGAGGAACAGGAGGAGGAGGAACAGGAGGAGGAGATGGAGGAGGAGGAACAGGAGGAGGAACAGGAGGAGAAGATGGAGGAGGAGGAGGAGGAGAAACAGGAGGGAAAATAGCAGGAGGAGGAGGAACAAGTGGAGGAGGAGATGGAGGAGGAGATGGCTGAGGAGGAATAGGAGGAGGAGGAACAGGAGGAGGAGGAACAGGAGGAGGAGATGGAGGAGGAGGAACAAGTGGAGGAGGAGATGGAGGAAGAGATGGCTGAGGAGGAACAGGAGGAGGAGGAACAGGCGGAGGAGGAGGCGATGGAGGAACAGGAGGAGGAGGGGCATGAGGAGGAGATGAAGGAGGAGGAGGAAGAAGAGGAGGAGGAATAGTAAAATTAGGAGGGACAGGAGGAGGAGGAGGAAGGTGGTTTTCTGACAAGATCGCAGCGCTGGCAGTGCAATGCTATCGGTCCAGGGTGGCAGCGGTCATTTGCAAGATGCGCAGCTGTAATAATACCAATCGTGATGGACGTATTTATCCAGGATAGCAACAGTGAGTCGTACGTCTCTTTCTCACGAGGGTCCGGCATAGTTTTTATTATTTTTAAGATTTGATTTCAGTCAATTAATGTTGAGAGTTTTGTTTTTACACATACAGTACATATATACACACACAAGTGGGAGGAAACCAGAGCACCCAGCGAAAACCCCCATACAGATGGACGACAGATGACGATCAGTCCCCTCGCTGTGCCCCCATCTCCTGGCGAGACAGGGTACGGGGCACCGGTTGTTGTAACTTTCTGGCCCTGTGTCCATACTGGGCACCTGTGAAAAAAGAGCTTTATCGCTCATCGGATTCGTCCAGCCGAAAATAAAGATTCTGATTCTCACGGCATCTGTGTGGTGATCCACTATAACCTCGGCGGTTGTACGTGCCAGGGCCCTGGGCTGCTAACGCCACGTGTCACGAGGAGTCGGCAG